CGGGTAAGCGGTGCACTCGGTGTGTCTTTTTGTTTGTGGCGTCTTGCGGTCTCATGGCGACTATATTTTCAGCTCGCCCTTGGATCACAATTATTTCTTCTTCACTGCACCGTCCCAGGAAGAAACTCTCCTGTGTTGCAGGAAACTTGTGACAAACCCAGTGTTTTTTGGTGAAGGCACTTGTGTGGCGGCGTGTTTCTTCTGAGGTATTGTTATTGAGTTGTATCCACTGATTTTTATTTTTCTCTTTTCTTCTTGCGGCACATCAAGGGACGTCACACCCACAGAATCTAAAATACACAACTGTTTCTACGATGGAATTGCGGGCAAAAACGGTGCCGGCAGTGCCACTTCACACCGTTATTTCGCTGCAGCAGCTGCTTCTTCTTGCGACGATGTATTGCGCCGTTGGGTGTATTGCCGCCAATGGATCGAGTCGCGGCTGTGCAATCGACGAAGTAGTGCAGAAATACGGCCCGCTCCCAACCACAGTTGTGCGTGAGCTGCCGCGCAAGGGACAGGGCGCGATGCAGGCGTACACCGTGGCTACAGAAGGAGAGAGCCAGGAGTGGGCGCCGATCCGCATCGCGGTGTCCACGGAGGATCTGAATGACCCAACTAAGTACTGCACTCAAGAAGGGGAGCTACGCCCAGACTTTCAAGGTGGGCACACTCATTGTAAGAGTGGTAGCGTTTTAACGGCGGAAAAGAGGCAGATCCTTGAGACCTTCGCCCTACCGGAAGCCGTCAAAATGCACAGTGAACGTCTCCGTGTTAGATCCTTGATCTCCAACTTGGTTGTGCCCAAATTTATTCATCAGCCGTGCAGTGAGTTTACGGTGCCGCATTACCATCAGAGGAGGGGCATTCCTAACGCCGACACGGTTGTTTATTTTGCTGCTGGGCCCGCTGTTGGGATGGTGACGTGGGCAGTGTATTGCGCTACAATCGAGAGTGGTCGTCCGTTTGTCGGTGTGTTGAACTATGATCCTGTTATCATCACCAGCATGGATGAACCCATGCGCATTGTTCTGCACGAAATTGTGCATGTTCTTGGATTTGACTACCAGCTGATGTCATCACTCAACATGACATCGCAGATTCCTGGTGTGCGCGGCAAACCGTTTGTGGAGGTGGTGAGCTCTCCCAAGACGAAGGAGAAGGCACGGGAGCATTACAACTGCAGTTCCGCCCCGGGCATGGAACTGGAGGACGCGGGTAGTGATAAGTGGGTGAAGTCTCATTGGAAACAGCGCAATGCCAGGGACGAGCTGATGAATCACAAAGTTGGGGCATATAGTTACACGGCACTGACGCTGGCGGCGCTTGAGGATATGGGGTTTTATCGCGCTAATTGGGGGTTGAGGAGGA